CCCTGCAGGAGATGGACCCACATGAGGGCAGATCCATGTAACTCTTTTGGGCTTTGCCCCTCCAGGCCCCAAAGACAGAGGCCCGAATGTTTTGTCAGTAATAGGATGGAAGAGAAACGGGGGAGAGAGGAAATGCAGCATACAGCTGTTTTACATTCATTAATATACTGTATATCCCATAAAAGGCTTATGAATGAAAAGCCACTGAATGTGTAATAGACAAAAAAGAGAACATTGACACACCAAGGCAGAGTTCCTGCAATCAGCATTCTGGTGTAACATCTGTTAAATTTTTGTTGTGCTCCAATGACTAGGCTGGTAACTACCAAAAAACCTCCGTGCTCAATTCCAGTAATTTTTGCCATTTCTTGTCCAAGTGCTGAAGGCATAGAGCTTAGTCAACTGACGACCAGCCCCATATTTCACTTGTTTTGCAGTTACTTCTTATTTCTTCTTCCTCTCATTCCAAGGATGACTTGCAGCTGTGCTTATTCAGGAAAGCTGTTGTACCCAGAGCCGTCTTCTGGACTCGGTGCTGAAACCCAGCTGGTTTTCTCCAGCTTCATTATGGACCAAAACCCAATCCAAATCTACATTTGGGTTCTTCATCCAGATTCCTGTACTATAAAACCTTTTACAAAAAGAGAGAAAGGAGACATTTCGCCCCCATCAAAACAGATATTTTTGTGATTTGTCTAATGTCTACAAGAAAGCAGGGAGACTGAACAAATAGTTAATAATCTGTGAACATGCTCAACCCACAAAGGTTCCCTTGTTCAAGTTTCTTTTGTGAACTAGACTCTAATATCATCACTACCAGAGGTGGAACATGCTGGCATTAAAAAGCAGCCAATTTCCCTAGCAACAGAACACCTTGATTATGCTAATTTTCACATTGATTGCGCCCTCATCTTGGATATGGCGTCTATATTCATTATGGCTGGAAGTGGCAGGCAGCATTGGTTTGGAGGTAACACAGCTTTGCATTATTTGCATATGAAAGGCTTATTCATCTTCAAGCCACTCACACATGTTTGGAAGACTGTCTTTTCTATTCTCACACATTTAATCTCTGTACTGATCAGTTTCAGTAGTTCAATACAATGAGAATTATTCAAAGTATCATGGCATTGTATTTGTAAAATGATTTTATTGAAGGTACAAAAAAAAACATTTTTCTAAATCTCACGAAAACCAAAATATAGTTTGGAATGCTAAGAATTGCAAAGATTAGAAGCAGGAAAAGACAGACAACAAGCCTGCAATTAACCAAGAAGGCTTGGTGTTTGTCTTATGGCTATGAATACTAAGCAATAACTAGTAAGTTCTACCTCCAGCCCTACAGTACATCCTGGGAGCAGCTTATTCTTCCAAACAAGGCTTTGATTAATTCTGTGGTGGAAATTAGGCATTATGGTCATCTAAACATAACATCTCTGTGCCCATATCTTCTATATACAGCAGGTAAAACAAGTATTGAACACGTCACAATTTTTCTCAGTAAATATATTTCTAAAGGTAAAATTTCACATCTGGTGAAATTTTCATCAGATGTTGGTAACAACCCATGCAACCCACACTTGCAAAGAAATCAAACCTTAGATGTCCATAAATTAAGTTATGTGTAATACAATGGAATGCCACAGGGAAAAAGTATTGAACACACTTAAATTTATTTAATACTTCATACAAAAGCCTTTGTTGGTAATACCAGCTTTGTTTGAGTGAATGCTTGTGTTCATTTAGTAAAGGTAGTTATGTAACTTCCTAGACCCATGTGTGAAAAAGTAATATCCCTCTACACTTATAGACTGTTTACTGTACATGTAGCAGCAATGACTAGCTATGAAAAGGGGGCTTATCTTTGGCCACCTGGGGAAGGAGAATGATTGGTTTGTTTGCTTCAACTTATTCCATCTGCCTGTTCTTGATATAGTGTACTGTATATTCTGCTGTGCAAATCATTTCTTTGTATATGATGAAATTACTGTATTATGCATCTGTGGAATTTTGAGTCTTCATTCGGGGGAATTGGTGCTTCTTGCAGATGCAGCCTCATAGTTCTTTGTGGTGTCCTCACTCCTGGACGACTGTGGGCGGCTGGTCTAATGTTTTGTGTTTACTGTCATTGATTTGTTTTGCCGTGTGCCATAATTCATCGCAATATCTTTTTGCTCCAGACAGACAGGACCATAAAATTAAAATATGTTGCACTTTTTTTTTTTAACAGTGCTTTCCTTTGATGGTGTCTTCAATAAATGTCTTTATCCTGTTTGGATTTTGTTGTTGGCCCAGTGGGTTTGGATTCAGATGTAAATGAGCAGGTGACTACTGGTGATGTTTTTTTTTCCCCAAGCATATCACACACTGGTCATACTCGTAGATTTCCTAATTCTGTCTCAAAAACCAAAGAACTAAGTGATTAGCATCATGTTGTTATGCAAACACGCTTCATGTGTCCTCATGTTTCCATGGCAACTAAAGCAGACATCATGAGGCTACAAAATTAACATGCCATGTTTGCTTTATTTGTGAGTATTTTCATTTATGAATAGCTTTTGTTTTTGCTTTAGTTATTAAAAGGAGTCTTGCTTGGTCAAAGCATTTCAAATTGGCTCAAAATATTCGATTTTCAGCAAACTGGATTTTCTTTCTTGGGTCTTATCTGGGTTTAATCTGACTGTCCACATATTGAATATGAGCCTTCAGTTTGTTCCGTGCACATGAGGTGACATATTACAGTCTTCAGTCATCTATTCAGTTATAAATAATTAAGCATAAAGAACCATTACTTTATTATATAACATATTTTATATTTTGTGCTAAATGCTTCCACAGGAAATAATAAGCAAATCATAACCCCAATGAATATATTGCAGTTCATGTTCAGGCTGTAAATACAAACTTAAATTGTATTTTTCTTCCTACAGTAGTTTTCTTTCTGCAATATTGCAGTTGATTTGGAAAATTGCAGTTTTTCCTGTGTAAAATATCAGTAATATTTCCATGCAATTATTTGCTTACACAATGTAGATTCCACAATCGCTTTGTCATTCAGTTTAGATCTCAGATGCAGAGTCATATCATATTTTGGTTTATTTTTAAATATGTCAGACTCCAAAATGTAAAACGAATACATTTTTCCATATTTATACATTTTATAAACTTAAATTCTTAAAGCAGATCCATCACATATTCATGGATGTGCTTATATATACACTCACATAATAGACAACAACTATTTCATAACTGATAGAAGTGTATAAACCAGAAAAAGTGCAAAGTCTGTCATAGTTCCATTTCAGAATGATTTAAGGTAGGTGTTCCCAACCTGTGTTTTACAGAACGCTGGGGGATTTGGGAAGAGGTTGGTTAAATTCCAAAAATTAAGTACATATTTTTAAGCCACATGCCTTTTATGACCTTTACATTGTCACATTCTAAAAAAAATGCATCTAAAAAAATTTGAAACAGTTACATTTATTAAGTTTTGCCGATCTATCATCACCCACCCCAACCCTGTTCAAGACGCTCTTTTGCCAGCTCCCCCCGGCCACCACTAACCAGTTTTGCCAGTCCATGATATTTTTGTACTCCATAAACTGGTCTGCAGACAGCAAAAGTTTTGGAAACCCGAGCTTAAGTGATCCACATTGTTGATGGCAGCCTCTATGTCAGGATTCCCCGGTAGGCCAGTTTGGAGAGAGACCTGCATGGCTCCACCAGTGCAATTTAGGTAGTGGGTAGAGTTTAGGCAGGTAGTGTTATCATTAAACAAAATCAGAGGAAAACAGGACAATACGTCAGCTAATCCACTCCCCCCCCCCAGTAAAATTTCTAAAACTAGCATAACAGAACAATATTGGGATCAGTGGCCCTTGGCTTTGTATTGTTGACTGAATATGGCCCTTATGGTGAAATTATATAATGCAAGTCACAGAGAAAATGTGCATTACATGTATGTCTCTTAATGCAAAAATTCTATAAGAACAGTTCTTGAGATTGAAATGAAGTTCTATGCGGAATTTTTAATAGGTTAAATGTCTTCATTAGATTGCTTTGGTTAAATTTAAATTAAATAAAATTTATTACTAATAATGGTTATTTATGGAAGAAAAACAGTATCATCAGAATCCAACTATTTTTAGACCTTGAATTTATAACACTGAATTTTTATCCTCCAAATTTCCCTGGACAATGGTTTTTATCGTTTGTCAGATTGTGTGTGGCCCACGGTATTAAAATCTTGGCAGGGCATCAATTTACTGAGTAATATTACCCTTCGCGAGCTGTTTGAGAGCTTTTCTAGTTTTAGTATATCTCTGTTGCCGTTCGTCTTTTCGCTAAAAATATAAAATATAAAATCCCCTACTCATCAATATTTTAGAAGTTTGAGTCATGTAAAACAATTTATTAATTTCAAGTGACCTAAAGTCGGAATTCTGACTTACTAAGTCGCAATTGCGAGATTCCGTGGCTTATATTTTTTTTACCACCTGGCGGAAACGGGTTTCCATACTTTTCAGGAGACACACTGCTGGCTAACGGTGTCATGTGATCAAACAGCGTAATTTAATTGGCTGAGAGCCGCTCGACTCGATCTAGTGCTGATTGCTCTGGCTTGGGTCATTTAAGTTCATCACTTTTGCAGTTGAAATTTTGCAGGTGAAATTTTGCAGGTGAATTTTTTGCAGGTGAATATTTGATGGTGAATTTTTGCAGGTGAATTTTTGCAGGTGATTTTTTTCAGGTGAATTTTTTGCAGGTGAATTTTTGCAGGTGAATATTTTTGCAGGGAAATTTGGAGGATAAAAATTCAGTGTTATAAATTCAAGGTCTAAAAATAGTTGGATTCTAATGATACTGTTTTTCTTCCATAGTAATTGATCATTATTTTGGCATTTTTCATTTTTTTTCATTGAAGTAACAATATTGTTTAGGAATAATGTCATGTAGTTCCCTAGATCTGCAGGTCAAGAAACAACATTGGGAAAACCTTGGAAAGAATCAATATCATTTAATTTCATTCAGTCCAGTTCAGCACTAACGTCATTTTTATCTGGTGTTAACAGGTCACCAAGATTCTTCATAGAATGAAATGGACCTATTGAGACAGTTTGTAAACTGTACAAAAATGTATTTTGCTTAACAAATTGATATTCCAGTGGTCAAAGTTGCTGGTGTTTCCCTGGAAAACTGGACACTTCCTATGGAGGAAAGAGTGCCTCATCAGAAAAGTGTGGGATTTAAACAAGCACTAAATAATTCATGGTATCTAAGAATTTCAGGCTGGGGCTGCTTCAGCTTGTTAGAGGGACCCAATGAAGTAATTTTTGTCCCAAGGCCTGGAATTTAGCACAGCAAGGTTCATAAGAAATACAAGGTACACAAATGTACAATTGTATTCATTGTATATATGGCTTCCTGCTTTTTCTGCAACTTACAAATTTGGCTGATGTATTGTGACTATGACATTTTGACTTGACCTGGAGGAAAGCAATAACATTATAAGCTTATAAGCTAAATTCTCCTTATAAGCTAAATAGTTTAGGGTAAAGTCATATGATATTTAGTTGATGTCCTCTGGAATCTGCCCTGGGATCCTGAAGCTCGGCATGGTTTGGTCCAACGTGTTCCGGGGACTGGATATGATGCAGCTGGATCGAGTCTCTGCAGTGCAACTAGTCCTTTGCAGGAACTGCAGGAAGTTCTCCTGAACAGAGCCTTCATGGCTAGACGCCACACGCTCCATGTGCTGTGTGCTGTAGCACCTCCGCAGCTTGAGAAGCTCCTCCCGGATCTGCCGGTTAAGGAGTCCATAGAAGAAGGGATTGACAGCAAAGGAGGAGTAGGCCAGCCAGGTGATCACCACCCCCAGCTCCCCGAACCTCAAGACCGGTGCGCTGAGAGACAGATGCAAGTGCAAGGAGAAGAAAGGCAACCAACAAAGTAGAAACTGGCCCACGATGATGATGAGGGTGATGGCTGCTTTGCTACCGCCAAAGATCCTTTCCCGGGTCAACCGGCGGGGAATGTTTCGTGTGGTGATGATAGTGGTCTGGCTGTTGATGGAGTCTGAACGATGCTTCAGATTGATTACCCAGGTAGGCAGAGAGCTATGTTGGCAGGCTGCCACTCGAGCCACCTTATACACGTTACAGTAAACGGTGAAGATCACCACAGCTGGGAGGCAGAAGCACACCAAGCTGAAGATAATGGCGTACATCTTCCTGTGACTGCGCTGGCTCCAGTACAGGAAGCAGTGAGCTGCGCTTATGTAACCCTGGAACCCGTATACTGGCCAACCAAAGAGGGCTGTGAGAGCCAATATGACAGACATCACCCATATGAAGACTATAACCGTGACAGCTAGACTCAGTGTCATTTTTACTTCATACCTCATTGGGTGGACAATGTAATAGTATCTCTCAATACTGATGGTGGTGATAGTGAGGATGGAGGCACAGATGAGGAACACATTCATGCAAATGTACACCTGGCACTCCTGTCTGGTGAAATCCACAAAGCTGAAGAAGGGTGAGCTGGACACAATTCCCAGAGGCATCAGCAACACGGCACTGAGCAGGTCCACAATACACAGGTGGCCAACAAAAGCAAATTTCCTCAAGTGTGGAACCTTTATGATGACTACTATCACAGCAGTGTTGGCGAGGAGAGCTACAATGTTCAAGCTCACCATTAAGAGAATTCCTATTAGGTCTTTTAGGAGAATCTGTCCTCTTGGAAGGTGCATGCTGGGCATTGTGTGAATAGATTTCCAGAGTCCTGTGTAATTCCACAATGAGTAGTTTGTTGTCGGATCCAACATCAGACCTGATTCATCCATGTTGTAAGTCCAGAATATGCTATTTCATTCTTCAGCTTTCTTTTTTGTCGAAATTCATGACTCTCTTTTTCTCTGTTAGGGATTCACCTGTTAACAAAACAAATTGGTAAAATATTTTTAAAAAAACATGTCATACTGGTCTTATTTTACTATCCAACATATCTTAATAAGTGGCTGCATTTGGAACAAAGCTGCAATTCATTTAAAGAAAGGCCAATACAGTATAGTGATGAGGGTTTAGTGTCCGCTTGCAGTGTTCATTTTCGGGTTTTTATACATGACAACACTACAGTATTTTTTTTTTCTTTACTTTGATAGCCCTACTTTGCCTTGTGGTACCCTGTCTGCTTCTGGCTAGCTACCTGCTGCGTGCACAGTAAACATGACGGGCAAAAGAAAGTCATTTTCTCTCAATGAAAAATACACTCATCAAAGCTGCCAAAAACATGCAGCACAAACAGTTAAGCTATATGTTATACACAGTATTGTATTATAGCATATTTGAATTATATAGTTCATTGGCTTAATTTGTACATAACTAATTTTGGAAAGCTTACTGTACTGTATTTTGAAAGAGTCGATAAAATTAATAAAATACTCGTGCTGTCAGTTCTATTACCTTATATTCATGTAATAAATCTACAAATGTCAATTAGATGGTAATCTGCCTGAGACATAAAGAAGAAAAAAAATCGGTTATAATGATCATCTGCTTCTAGTGATCCATTTCATACAGACAGACATGATCACTATAAGCAGTTTCCACTTTATATTTAATGTTCTAAAAGATCACTGTACCTCATATTGTTGACCAAAAAACTCTGCCCAATAAGTCTGCTTTAAGTTCTTTGCAACTTAGGAGCAAGATTCCTGCAGTATCTCAAAACGTAGATATATCTCTGGCCAGGGGCGTTGCTAGAGATTTTGGGCCCCATGAAAACATATCATATTAGGCCCCCCAGTCCAAACCAATCCAGTTATTTTCCTAATTTTTTAGGGCCTCTGTCACTCAGGGGCCCTTGGAATTGTCCTAGCTTTCCTCCCCCTTACGGCGCCCCTGTCTCTGGCTCCTATACATCAATAGTGCCTCACTGACTGTTTTAGCAGTGCTTAGACCAGGGGTGTCAAACTGCAGTCCTGGGGGGCCACAGCCCTGTGTAGCTTAGTTCTTTCCCTGTTCCACCACAAATGATTCAGCTCAAGAGCTGTGTGGTAATTAGTACAAGGAGTTGAATCAGGTGTGTTAAATGAAGATAAACCAAAAACTTAGTAGGGCTCCGGCCCTTTAGGACTACAGTTTGAGACCTGTGGCTTAGACAGTATGGTAGAAAATACATAATATTTAAAAACATTTATTTTAGTTACTAATAGCAATGAAAACATAAATAGGTATTTGGAATTCCAAAAGTAGTATATTTCGATAAAGCTTTGGCAGTTTTTCAGACCACTGTGTATTTACTGTGTTTATCTAGAGTACAAAAGAGTAGGATCAATAGCCATAATTTAAGAGTGAGTGCTCCGCCATCTCTTTCAAGTCCATTTGAATTATCCTATTTTAGCACAGCTGCAGAGAGTTACTTATTGATTCAGTCAAACCAATGAATAAAAACACCATTGAAGACATCCAATCAGGGGCATTTATGTGAAAAATTAGTTTAGCAAAGTAGAAAATTGAATACTAAGTGTCCAGGTGTATTATTATATCTAAAACAGAAACTTAGGACTTCATTTTATTATTATTATGAGGTTATGTGAATATGACCTACAGTTTTCTGGTGTTAGAACTCATCAGAAAGTACTTCTTGATTTTCAGGTGAGTTGAATGAAAGGGCAATTAATGATAATTTAAACTTTATGTACCTCTAAAACCCTTCTATTGTTAACATATATGTCTGTGTATATCAATGAATTAATATGTTAATTTAAACAGGCAATATGAAGCTAAAAATTGTAGTTACAATGGATCATGTCTTGCGGTATGGAGTGTTACTACAAGGACAAGATGTGATGGTAATATCACTTCAAAGATGTAGGGAGGGTGTACTGAGAGAAGAAAGTGGACAGGTCTACACACCATGACGAACCACATGCTAACCATTTTATCACCCTTCACCCCTCCCCTGTCCAATCACTTCTTATGTGTACTGAAGATAAGGGAAAGACACAAAAACAATAAATACTGGTGAGCTTAGGTCCTGTGACAGCACTCGCTGAGGTTTCCCAGAACTCTGTTTTCCTGAATTTCTCTGTCAATGTTCCGAATGATATTTGTGCATATTTGTGTTTTTCCCCCAAATATCACTCTGTGAGAGGATAGCTCTTGACATTTATTGTTTGTTAATACGGCTGAACTACCCTGGACAAATGCCACAGGAAAAAGCATTACATTAAAAGCATTTAATATTGCCCTCATTTCCTTTGCTTGGATCCTTATTCACATTCAGTGAGCTGCCATATCCTTTAAACTGACACATGTACTTGACAGATGAAAAAAAAATTCAAAGCTCACACATGGGGGAAAATGGTTTGAGACTGTAAACACTATTCTGGATGGAATGTAACCTTGTATTCATATTATTTTGTTATGCTAACTTTTAGAAAATATCATCAGTTGTTAAGCACTGTTGCGTCCTGCTTCCTGGGTTGTGGGTTGAAATCCCGCTCTCATGTGCGGTGTGCATCTTCTCTGTGTTACCTGTGTTCCATTTCAACGCTATTGGTTTTCATGTGCAGTTCAAAGACATGCAGGCGGCTGATTTGTCTCTTGAAATTGCTGGCAGTGTGTGAGTGTCTGCCCAGTGATGGGCTGTACCCCTGTCTGGGGGGGCCCTATACTCCCCGGAATAGTATTTTAGTATCCTTACAGAATACCATTTAACCATCCTGTATTCTTAACATAAAAAATTCAAATAGACCTTTTTACATTTTGGTTTCTTAAATATATAAAACTTGGAAGCAAAGCAGAGAAGATGACGAGATGAAGATGTAAAAAGTGCTTCAAATAACAAAAACAACTTTGAGTAAAACAGGTATTTTTCAAATCTCATATTATTTCTATTGCTGTTTTGCCATCTAGATGTCAGAAAAATATTCATATATGAAACAAATCAAAGGAAAACATCAAGAAGCTATTCTAAGATATTTTCTTTTGAATTCAGAGGTAGCTGACCATATCCAATAACATTAATTCTAAGCTGTGCTCACAGAGTACCTTAGGATGCCATTTGCAGATTATATGAGTTACTGTCTTGTGACTTAAACTACGCTGTCAGAAAAAATGTACTGTACAGCCCTGGTAAAGTTTTGTTCCCCAAGGTACAAACACCATTAATGTACCCCCCAATGGAACAAAATTGTTCCTCATAGTCCATTTCTGTACTTGAAAAGGTACATTTATCTACAGCTACGGTACAATTGGCAGACCCTTGAGGGTACAGCCCAAGTGACAAGTAATTGTACCCTCAAATGTACAAATTCGTTTTTCTGACAGTGTAATATATATAAGACATCAGAATTTTATTGGTGGCTTCTGCATTTTTCTTACTGCAGTGTGCAAGTATATATACACAAGTAGTGTTTAATTAATGATGCTGTTAACATGTTAATTATCTAAGACAATATTATGTAAATGCTTCACCATTTGCTTCCATAAAGGAGATCAAAATAAGGATAAAATGTTTTGCCATGTCAGTGAAGCTTATTTGCCTGTTTTGCTGCCAAGTCTATTTCATAATCTGATCACATGACCCATATGGCATTAAAAGCGTCCTTAAATGTATCAAAAGGATTGTTTATATAATATGTTTTATTTATATTGTTTATATAATATTATATAATATTTTATCATTTGCCAATCCATATGCAAATTAAATTTTATTGTCATGTGTGCTAGTACTAGAGAGGTTTGCTTAGTGAGAACTGTCAATCCTGTAAATATTTACTTTTAATATTTGTATTATATATCATTACACCATCTGACCTGGCAAATCTCTGCCTTTGAAAGCAATGGCTCAGAAAGCATATGTCAATTTAATTTATTTTTTAAACAGGTTATCTAATTCATTTGTGTTTACAACCTTCACATATTTCATGCGTTTTTTGCTCATTTAGTTCACATTAATATTCTTAAATATGAAAATCATTGTCATCTGCTTGAATCAACAATCCGTTGTTTAAAACAGAAAAAGAACCTTACCTGAAACGCATGGCACTAGGAATCCAAAGCTGTGCTCTTTGACTTGTCCAGTTCCACTACTATAGGACACATGTAATGTTAAATTAATGAAACTGACAAGAAAAGTGTGTGAGAAAGTTTCTTTTTCTTCAATGAAAATTAAACTCCTTGAGGTAATTGACCAAGGCACTACATTACAATCAGCTACACGTAAGTTTGACAGGCAAGCTCTTCAATCATCCCCCCCCCCCCCCCCCCCCCCCACCCCCCCCCTTGCACGCCCTCCCCATCGTCATATTCCCGGTGAGACATGACACAGTGGAAGCAGATAAACCCTTTTGACAGCCCACACTTCATGGAGAGACACGTTTGTGTGCATGTTCTCCAGCCAGACCTCCCCCTAAACAGATAGATGGAATCTCCTCGCTGCCCTGGGACAGCAGCCCTCTGTGTGCCCAGGTCCCGCTTATGGACACAGAGCACTTTTCTGAGTCAGATCGCAGTGGCAGCGCTGTCAGTCACCAGTAGCAGAAGCACATGAGGCTCTGTAAGAATGACATGACGGCCTTGTGCCCTTTCCCCTCTCTCTCTCTCTCTCTCTTTATCTCTCTCTCTCTCTCTCTCACTACATAGCAAATGAGTGTCACACATGAGAGCCCTTCCTTTGCTTTTCTCTGCAAATACACTCCTGCACTTTGACAGCGTACAGAAGGCCTCCGCTGGGTCCTAGTTTCCTATCCTTTGACCAAACACAGACATTTAGCCTGTCCACCCTGACAAGAACATATGTGGCTATAACCACAGTTAAATAAAGCCCATATGTGCAAACTTTGGAATTAGATTGGATTTTTATTTTTGAGTAACCATATTTCATTAACTATTATACTGTATCTTATTTGAGGTGAACGAATCTCTGTGTTTTAGTACATTGCATTAAACATTATATATTAAAGTTGCTTAGAAATGGGAATATTAAAACTGGATTACACAGACATATTTATGAAATATATGTAATATATGTAATTTAGATCTGCTTAATATTCTTTTCGGTTTCTTTTGCTGTAGTAAGTTATTCTTCACTTTACAGACTCATTTCAGTTCTCACTGGAATAATGTTATAAAAAAAAATAAGCAAGATATTAATTTGTACGTAATTGTAATTGCTGTGTTTCACTGTGATGCGTTTCATTGTTAGACATAGATGGGCATAACCATGATCTCTGGGGGAATATCTCGCATACTTTGTAAGGTATTTGAGTTTCTCTATGCAAGTTTAAGTGGAGTCGGATAGAAATGTCAAAGTGCAGTGCATTTGAATGAAGCTGGTTACAGTACTGAAGCCCAGAAGTATTTAGCCATTAAAGGGTGACACCTCCTGATAGAAAAATGAACTACATTGTAAATATGGTGTCACACTATGGTGTACAGCTGAATATCATTTAAATATATGCAAGCATTTCGTTAAGCATAAACTTGACAAACAGATGGCTCATTAAAATGTATCCCCTGTAGTTTCAGGGCTCATTGAAATTCTCCTTAGGCTTTGCAAGAACACCATGATTTCAAATAAATATTGACTGCTGTCTCATAGGAAACAAATGCAGTAGGATTTCCCAAAGTAATTGAGATGTTATGTTGAACCGTCCATGAGGCAATCTTATGAAAAATGAATGGCTTTGATATATCAATCTTTAAGTAAATTATCACTGTAAATTCTCAATTAGTACCAGTTATATGTTGCTCATTTTTACTGTATACTGTAAAGATATGAAATACTGAGAGTGACAGACTGAAAACTCATGCACAACAAGCATCCCAGAGTGTAACTGAGTAATGGTTGACCAGATATAATGTTTTTTATCAAATGATCTGTATTACAAATCATTTTTAAATTGTCCCAGAAAATATTTACTACAGAAAGTATACAATCCAGCAGCTGACATTATTTTAATAAATATTCAAATCACCTGTGCAAAGAAATGTAAATTATGTGCCCAAATTCTGATTTTCCGGTTGTTTCCTTCAAAAAGTTAAAAATATGTGTGTGTGTGTGTGTGTGTGTATGTGTGTGTGTGCGTGTGTGTGCGTGTGTGTGCATGTGTGTGAGTGCATATACACACATACATCATACAAATCATACAAAGGAAATAACTTCTATACATTACTATATTTTGAATGGATTCATTACTCCAGCACCACTCTAGTCCATAAATATGGCTTTCAAAGTTTTACAGTGTCACAAATATTTTGTACATTCAGCTCTGACCATTTTGTTCTGGCAGAGCAGAACTTTCCACTGTGGACATTCTCAGACATCCACTGACCCCTTGCAAAAATCATATTGTTGCTGTATTTCTTCTTTTAATGACTGACAATTACTGTATGAAATATCAGGGCTTTGGGTAATAATATCAGGTGAGCTGATCCACAGTTATCCAAAGTGTATCCCTCTCATGACAAGGCAAGTTTATTTATATAGCATGTTTTCAAACACAGAAGTCATTCTGAGTGCTTTACATAGAATAAGAGCAAATAAAAACAACGAAAATTAAAAACAAGTAAAAGACAATTAAAGTAACAGTAAAATAAATTAATAAAAATTAGTCACTATGCCCTTAGACTAGGTAGGTACCAACCTTTACTCACTCTTCTCTCTTGCTGAAAACAGTCACCTCAGTGCTCTTTGTTGAATAGGAGGAAATTGTGCTGCATTCAGAAATGAAGTTGCTCAAGGCACTGACATAGGGAATCGATGGGGCCAAAACCATTGGGTGACAGAGCTAGGTATATGTCTATGTCATCTGCTGAGTATGACTATGATAACCTGCATTATTATTTTGCAGAATTTAACCTAAAGGAAGCATATAGAGGTTGAATAAGAGTGACCCTAGGATAGATCCTTGCAGAACTCCACAATTAATGGGTGTCCACCAAAATTTATAACTGCCAATTTCAATATCATGTCTTACTTGCATTCTTATCAATAACATCTCATAATTCAATTCATTGTCAAAACATGTGGTTCTCCTAACAGAGCAATCCCTTGCAACAGTGTTCTGATAGAAGAGGCACTGAGTTAGTATTACTTCAGTGGTTATCCAGATATGCACTGTAATATGTGTATTCTTGAAAGGAACTTTCTGACCAGCTGCAGAACAAAGGTCTGTCACATGGGTAAGCCAGAGACCTCAGACAGCAGACGTTATGACAGGAATAAACAAAGGGAAAAAATATGTATATATAACCAAGGTTCTAAGACAAACAATCGTAAAATCATTGAAACAATGCATATACCCCTAAAATCACAATGGCCAATAAACTGCCAAATGAAGTTCACTCACTCATGCTGGTTCATCAACAAGTTCATTAAGATCATATACTAACCTTAAAAAGTGGTTAGTCCAATCATTATGAACACACCGGCTTACTAGTAGTCACAGAGCTGGTGGTTATATGACTGAGACCTGTAAAATCAGATTACTTTATTGTTATTCATCAGGTGAGTATGTAGCCTAAGTACCAAGCAATGTGCACGTGAGTGTCTTTTGTGTAATTATCTTCCAAATACCACAACTTGTTTTTGTTAAAGACTACAATTGGATAGAACTGATTACCGGATGGGTTTTTAATGATACATCAGTTTGTTCAGAAATGCATCATTTAACATATCTTGTTAATGATTTCCTCAAAACAGAAATATCTCATAATGAGGTGCCCCGTGCATGTGATTCATCTGTTGCAAAATGTCCCTTATGTAAGGTTATTGGCTAATTAAAGACATTTTAAGAGCTCAATTAACTGCATCCTGCTCTTAAAAAGCAGTCTGTCTGTTTCATTCCAAGCAAGATTGTTGTCTGGCAGGAAAGGGATCAGTTGTTTCCCGGTCTCAAGCTCTGTGATTTGGATAAGAGGCCCCGCAGTACAGTGAACCAGGCAATGGTTACCATGGAAACAAGGGTACAGATTTTGATGGCAACACCCTTGAGGAACAGACACAGTTGCCTTAGGTGTCTTCAGCTTTAAATGCTGTTTTAATTAGCTCTCCCTGTCTACCACCCCATAGAAATGCATACATAGTTCTTCACAGGCAGGTTATTGGCCACCCAGTAACTACTGGCAACATTCTCTTTTTTTGCAGTTCTGTATTCTGCAGAGCTGCTTTCCAGTGAGGCTGACATTTAAAACTAGTCGTTGACAGTTAATCAACACCTCATTTTAGATATATATGAATATGATTCAGGTGGTAAAACAACTCTTTCTCACTTTCTGGTTTTTCATCACAGCATCCAGATTACTTTTAAGGGAGAAAAATAAATAAAACAATATTTGTGCAATTAAGACAATCAGGAGACCTTTTATATATATTCCTCCATATTAACCAAATTTACATTTGTGGGATGGAGGAGGTGCCTTATCTTATGGCTTATCTATATAAGTCTCAGTTCTGCTTTCTTCTCAGCTCACAATAAGTGTCCAAAAATCAATATCAGAGCTGACTCTCTTGTGTCCCAAGGTGCAACATCTGTTTTGCTTTCCTGTGCACTGAAGCTGAAATGGTGTTTTAATGTTCTTCCCAACCCATCTATCTATGTTCTGTAACAACTTGTCCTGTTCAGGTCCACAGGGGGGTCTGGAGCCTATGGGCCCAACGTAGAGAACAACCCAGGATGGGGCACTCTCATACTGCCTGTTTTTCCCAACCAATTTTGTTAAACCAGTGTTTGCTCCTGTTCCCAAATAACATCTCACTCCCATTTACAGTGACCAGTGAATATCACCAAATTTCTCAATATTTTTTAAGATTACATTTATGTAGCTAATATTATTTGGGGGTTTAATTTTAGCCATATAAGTATTATAACTTGCCCACATTCATAAAGATCATCCAGTAGTTTTGGTACGTAAGTGTATTCATTCTCAGCATGAGAAATTTAAGAACATTTAAATGGCTTTTTTGATCTGGATGCTGATAAAGGTGTTGTACTTTCAGATATTAGAAAAGAGTTTGATACATATCCAGAACTGGGCATGAGATTCAAAATAAGCTATTACAGTTCTGCAAAACCCTATATTTCCATGTGAAAGTGTGAATATCCCAGTGCCTTTTTAAATTTTGTTGTAGAGGCTCAACAAATAGCCACTAGTAAGTAAATAATACATCCAAACCAGGTACCACAGCTTCTACAAGAGAAAACAGTGAGGCTTAATTTTTTAAGCTTGACAGTT